TCTCCTCCTCAAGAGACAGTAGCCTGAAATAATAGTACATTCTTTTCTTTTATTATTATTACTATTACTATTATTATTATTATTTTTTGAGGAGGAGTCTCGCTCTGTCGCCCAGGCTGGCACCATCTCAGCTCACTGGAACCTCCACCTCAAGGGTTCAAGTGATTCTCCTGCCTCAGCCTCCCAAGTAGCTGGGACTTCACCACACTCAGCTAATTTCTGTATCTTTAGTAGAGACAGGGTTTTGCCGTGTTGACTAGGCTGGTCTCACACTCTTAGCCTCCGGTGATCCTTCTGCCTCCACCTCCTAAAGTGCTGCGATTACAGGCGTGAGCCACTGCACCTGGCCAATAGTACATTCAATATCCTGTAATAAACGTATCTTCAATAGGAGAGCATTTTTCTTCCCTACCTCCTAACCTAGATTGTAAGAGGCAGTCTTTCTCCAAGAAATCAAGGTGTATGCTATATTATCATAACCGTTGAGTTTTCTCTTTTAAAGAGAGGATACAGAAGACACTGTGTGTAACAGAACATGCCCTGGTCACTGGCTGTCCTTCATGACACCCACCAGGGCTCACTCATGTATGCACACATTCTTGTGTATTCTGAATTTGTCAGCCAAGTGGCTTCACTCCCAACACAACCCTTTGCACTCAGCTGGGGTGAACTGTCATTGTCTATTAAGCCAAAGTGCTCTTCATCATCATTAATTAATATTCCCTTCCCAAAGGAGAGAAGGTGTCATCCAAACCTGTCAGGCTCCCTCTCATCATCCACACTACACAAATACATCAGGCATCACTCTTCTCAGATACACTCAGCACATTTCTTTTGCTCTGGCCACCACCAGACATGCAGTCTTCTGTTCCCCAACCCACACGATGCCACTGGAACATTCATTCTATTCAGGTGTGATGGAGTTTTAGGACACTTGTTTCCAGGCTTTTCTTACACAAACACATCCACCCAACAAGACTGCGAGCCATGTGTCAATATGGCCTGAACTTAGCTGTAACTCAGCACTTGGTACTAAAGGCGCGGCATAGATAGGTCTCAGGCAATCAAACTTCTGATTCTCTTTACATTGACTTTCATCATTTTCTTCTTCCAGTCTTCTGTTTTCAACTGGTATGCAAAGTCTAACTCTATTTACCCTGCCCTTCTATGTTCTTCAGTCTTAATGCTCGTATCACAACCAAATACGAGCCCAGATGCAGATCCTTCAGGGAAAACATGACAGTCTATAGTTGAGAGTTCGCATACTCTAGGGTTTAGGTCCTAACTCTGCCACTTACCATCTTTGGGGGCTTGCAAAAGTTGCTGTATTCTCTCTGCCTGCATTTACTTATATTTGAAGTGAAAGTGACAACAGTTCCTACATCATAAAGTTAATGTATGCATTGAATGAGATCGTTACGGAAGGTTTTTTACACCATGCCTGGCACAAAGTGGCCCAAAATATTAGACATTATTAATATCAACAAAATCCATTTCTAGTATTTTTGCTCTGAGGCCAACTTTCTTGTCTCTTATTTCTTGGCTCTCTTGAATGGAGTCCAATTCACACTGATGGAAAATTCTGGTATTTCAATAACTAAACCATATAAGGCTGTACCCCCAACACTTTGTCTCTAGCATTTCTCTCTCTCATTCCATATACACACATAGTTCTAGGGTAGAGAACACAGAATCTGTATCCAGGTTCCAACGTATGTGCAAACAAAATGCTTAATTTTAATGAGCACAGTGCTTCCTTCTGCATTTTTTACAAAGACCCATCAGCAGTGCACATCCGTGACGCACAGACCCATCTACATGTTTATACATTATACAGTTCACCTCTGCTAAAATAGCCTGAAGAGCTCACAAATGCAGGAATAGCACATAATTGGCATGCAAAAGCAAACAAAGAACAAAGGCCATCCTCCTCAGTCACCCCAAATGTGAGCAGACATGCACTCCATGTATGCTGTCTCTGTAACCCCCACCTCATGTGTTGCTCATCTTTGCTCCTTAGTAATTCATTTATGGATTTTCTTACTTCTCATTTATCTCTAAGCTCTCATCATTCATTACAATTCTACTGGGAAATTCATGCTGGATGGCTTTCAGCTTCCTGCTAGCCAGAACAATCAGATTTAAGGGAACATTTGTGCCAGGCTCCGTGTCAGCCAATATTCTTTCTATCTAGGTAATCAGCAGATACGGCACTGCCGTTCTGATCACATCAATTTCAATTCAAGTTGCCGTGAACTGTCAGGCTAATAAAACAAAGACTCCTCTCTCCCAGCCCCAGGATGCAGAGCACCTTTACACAATACAGTCATACTACTGCTCAAAATGATGATAATAAGAGCCAGCAGTTTCCCTACAGATAGTCAACTGCAAAAGAGGCACAAAGGGGAAGCACAAGATTAACAAAGCAATGTTTGGCATGTCCAGAGGTCGCCTTGTTTCCTCTTTTCATTCCATACCTGTTACTGATGTTTGAATTCAGAAAACTAGTCATGAAAAGAGTTGCAAATAACAAGACATTGCAAAGTCATTCCTGTCTAAACTTGTCATTTTTTCATCATCAAGGGACCAATTAAAATGGTTTTTATTTCTGTCAGCAAACAAAATTTATCCAGAGAATCAATTCCATATTGACTCAAAAAGAGAGAAGAGGATAATCAGGAAGGGGAAGATGGAACCTGAAAGTCAGAATATGTTTTTGGGAGATCAAGGATAGAATGAGGGCCAGGAAAGAAAACTGGGTGATTAAGCTTGGGCAGTTGCTTTGACTTCATGCCAGTGAATGCTCAGAGCATGCTCAGTGTTGAGTCAAGGCAAGAAAATGCATGACATTTCAACAAAACACACTTCAAGTTAAAATGTTTATAGTCTATTGTTTATAGTCTATTTACCAATGAAAAAGAAATGTGGTAATTTACACTTGTTTATAAGAAGACAACTACTGTAATCCCAGCACTTTGGGAGGCCAAGGCAGGCGGATCACAAGGTCAGGAGTTTGAGACCAGCCTGGCCAATATGGTGAAACCCTGTCTCTACTAAAAACACAAAAATTAGCTGGGCGTGGTGGTGGGAGTCCCAGCTACTCAGGAGGCTGAGGCAGGAGAATAGCTTGAACCCAGGAGGCAGAGGTTGCAGTGAGCCGAGATCGTGTCACTGTACTCCAGCCTGGGTGACAGAGCGAGACTCCATATCAAAAGAAAAGAAAAAAAAAGACAACTACTTGATATGAAGAATGTCATATGGCTGCACTAATTGCAATATGGGAAGATGTAGGAATCCGAAATAATAAAAATGTTTTGGGCATTTAAACAACGTGGGTAGATGTTAAGGCTATGAGAGTAGAACACTGCAGTGGTGCTTGAACACACTGGAACATAATATTAATGATGCTATCTATAATTTGTTGAGCATTGTTGTATTTTAAGCACTGTGCTCCGTGCTTTGAAAGGATTAATTCATTTAATCCTCAGAAAAATCACATCTAGTAGGTATCATATTTATCTCCATATTTTAAGCAAGGAAACTGTGGCTCAGAAGTTACTGGATTTGTCTCAAGAATACATACAAGTGGCATTGCTAGGATTTAAGCTTAGGCAACCTAAATCCAAAATCTGTACTCTAAATTAAATTTTATTCAACATGAAGTTGAAACTAAATCATCACAATATGTAAATTTCTTCTAGAATACAGTTTGAGGTTGTCATACATGATACTGAATTTATCTGAAACATGGGCAGAAGAAGAAGTGGAAAAACTTGTGAAAGTATGAAAAAGTTTGCAGTAGAATTTTCTAAACATATACATATAAACTAGACCCTATGCTAGTCTGCCATAATTTCTATTACAAATACCTGGGCTCTAACTTTGGCATACAGTTTACTAATATGCTTTTATACATACATAAAAGTTTAGATACTAGAAAAAAATCACTAAGAACCTCTGAAGGAGGAGGAAGATAGAACACATTGAAAGGGATTACAATGACAGGTTAAAATTTCTTAAGTGAAGTTAGTTTCTTTCATACTAGATATATCCTTACTTCTTAGACAAACAACCTCTTGACTCACTGCGCTTATTCTTGACTAAATGATAGTGTCATTATGACTGTACATATCTGAATCCATTTTAGATTTTTTTTCAGATAGAATATAGGTATATTGTTGCACTTCCCAAATTCTGAATGTTTTCAAATGGCTTATTATAACCTATTATAAATCTTTCGTAGTGCATGATAAGACTGACGAATGGATAAAATCCATCCCAAGGCAGCAGTTTTATTTCTAGCTAACTGTGCCTTCAATGGCAATTAAAGCATTGGTATTTATCATGAAAGCTAACCAATCCAACATACATGATTTTCTTTTGAATCTTAGCCATCTTGAGAAACAAAGAGTCTGCTAAGCTCTGTTCTTGTTGTAGTAGTTGTTTATTTTATTTTTCTGGATTTAGGAGACAGACACCTGCTAATCTTATCTCACTCTCTGGCCCTGTGAGAAAAAGGCCATTAGCCAAGGGAGCTTATTTAACCAGAAAGGTCTTCAAGTCCAAATGAAGCGTCTTCTGACTGGATGCAGGAGACCTGATCCCCTTCATTCTTTCTTCTGAGAGACAAGGGAGTGCCATCCACCATCCCTTTACTCACGGCCCTGTCTGCCTTTCAAAACTATGTCCAAACATCGCATGCAGGCCACTCTCGTCAAACCCTGTAATTGGCTGCCTCCCCAGACATTCCGCAAGTCCGCTAAGCCTTCATGTCCTGTGGAGTTTGTCAAAAAAGAATCTCTCCCAGAATCCCTCCCAGAGATGTTCTGTGGATTGCAAATTAACTAATAAAAATGTTCTGCAAATCTCTCCATTTCCCAAGAGAAATGAGGCCACATAAGGAACTGTATTAAAATGACCAGGAAAAGAGTCCATGCGGGGCTTCCATCAGCCAGCTGGGCATTGCTGTGGCTTAGGACCACATATGCCTCGTGACATACCTCATAGAGGTCGATCATGATGTTGCCCTCAGGGCCTCTGCTGCTCTGGACATTCTCCAAGGCCAGGGTGAAGTAGACACCACGTGTGTCTGAGATGTAGAGGTTGTACGTGTCATTCTGGTTCCATTCTTGGACCGCTGCGAACACCTGATTCTCATCGGTGCTGATAACATGCATGTCCTGTGAAAAGACACAAGGTCGTGAAGAGGGAAGAAGAGTTTTACACGTTAACCTGGCAGGCATCCAAAGAGTGTGGCATCAAATGAAGAATACCAGAATGAGCACTTTAATAGAAGGTAGCTTCCTTTTGCATATATGAGAAATAATAATTAGTTAAGCATTAATCATATATTTCCTTTGTCACTTGTGGGGTTAGGCAATAAGGTCATTAAAAAATAGGATGGAGGGGTGTTTGATAGATCAGTTTTAAATGCCTCATTACATAATTTGAAAAATACTTTCTTAAATATGTATTATTTGGAGAATCAAGCATCCTGATATTTTTGCCAAGCACAAATATGATACTTGCTCAGAAGGCATATATGGGGCAGACATGAGGAAAAGCTGGAGGGACAGAGAGAAAATAGACAAACCCTGCATCTCTCAGCGTGGCTCATGGACCAGCAGCAAGGACATCACCTGTAAGCTTGTTAGACACATAGAACCTTAGGCCTCACCTGGTGAATTGAAATCTGCATTTTAATAAGATTGCTAAATAATTACCATGCATATTAAAGTTTGAAAAGCACTGCCCTAAGGTTCAGCAACCCCCAGCCAGTCTCCTCTACCCTCCGCCCTAAGAAAATATTCACCAGAGAAACCCAAAGTACTAATCCTCATGTTAATGTGTTCAAAGACTTAGCTGCTTATCAAAACCTAAACTGAGAGGTTCTGCAGGAATCCTCCAGTGAAAAAGGGCAAAAGATAGTCTGCATAACTGACGATGTTTTCAGATCCTGGTGGTCCTGGAAGACAGAATTAAAGCAAAGGTAGCATGGAGGCAGTGAGTAAATGCCCCCGGGGTGGGAATTTCAAATTCTTTTCCCCCATTCGTAACTCTAGAGAAGAACAATGGAAGCTACCACAGTCCGAAGCTTGCTGACTCAGACCAAAGCCTGCTTTCTTCTTTAGGGGATGTCTGTTAATATGTTCTTGGCTGCATTTTACCCTTTGCCCAAGACAGTAGACATAAAACAACTTCCAAAAACCAAAAATTAAAGCTAAGTAACCAAAACAAAACAAACAAAAACAAAGATTGCATATAACCACAAAGGTAGAAGAACAACGTAGAACAATTCTTGTTTTTGGCATTGTTTAGTACTCTAATCTTTCCAGATGCACCATACTCTATTTTTGAAAAGCTTTAGGAGATCTGGCAATCTTCCTGTTAACAATTCCAGTGCAGGAAAATTCTACCTAACTACTAACCTAAATTTCTCATTGTCATATATGCCCATGTTCTCAATTAAGCAGCATTTCAGCTCTGACTCTGCTCTAGATGTTTAGGCACAAGATTCCCTCTCCTCTTTACCCTTTATCACAGTAAACTCAATCCCAGAGGGAGAAGTCCATATCCAAAGAGCTTTATATTCCTCACCTCTACTCAGGCTCAATATGACATACTCGAGTTTGGTAACATTTTTGTAGAAAGAACCCCAAGTGGAGAGGCCAAAAAATGAATCCTGCCCATTAATTTAATGTGTGCTTCTATCCACTGAATGTCTATTTACATTTCTCCTGGTAATTACAGCTCTCTCTAGGTATCTGCAGGGGGATTGGTTCCATGACTGTCCTTAGATACCAAAATCCACAGAAGTTGAAATTTCTTATATAAAGTGGTATAAGATTTGCATGTAATCTATGCACATCCTCCTGTACACTTTAAATCATCCCTGGATTACTTACAATACCTAATACGATGTAAAGGCTATGTAAACAGTTGTATCATTTATTTAATTCGTATTACTTTTTATTATATATTTTTTAATATTTTCAATCTGATGCAGAACCTGAGGAGATGCAGGTCCAACTGCACGGATTGATGTTTTTTGAAAAACAGCTGCATTCCTCTCAGGTATATTTCTATATTTCATCTAAACTTTTTTCTGCTTTCTTCTACCAGCAGCACAACAAATGAGCTTTTAGAACTGGCATTCAGAATATTCCATTTCTCTGGCAACAGCAACTGAATAGGTGATGGGCAGGTGACCCACATAAAGTCAATATGACATGTTTCTAGAATGACTGCAGAGTCATTAGGGAGAGACAAAATTAGTATCTCACTATTGGTTTGTAGGCAGTAAGAATAAAAGAGAAAATTCCACATCTGCTGGAGACATATCTTAGAGGTAAAGGATGAAACCAATCCTTACGAAAACAGGGTCAGAGGATGGAGAGAGATGGCCCAATCCTGTGACATTTTTTGATCCCTAAATGTGGACATTTAAGCAGCTGATCCCACTGCCAGACTTTTCAGTTAAAGAAGACAGTCTAGCAAAGTGACTGAAGAATGGACTTTCGAGTAAAACCACCTGAGTTCAGATCTTGGCTGTATAACTTAGCCACGTGAACTTGGACACTCTGTGTCTTATAATTTCAACCTGCAAAATAGAGACAAGGATAGTAGGTTCCCCATGGAGTGGTGAGGATGAAATCCATTAATAAGTGTTAAGCACTTCTAATAGTGTCTGGCACTTAGCATATGCTCTAGGTATGTTAGCTACTCTCAGTTAAGTGAGCCCTTACATCCCTTTCGTTGATTAATCCAGGTTCATTTGGCCTTTCTGTTTACTGCAAATACTCAAGTCCTAACTACATACACGAGAAGAAGTGGTTCACCCAAGTGTCTTTGTTGTTGTTTAAAATAAAATTTAAAATTCTTTGAACTGGGAGAAGCTACACCCAAGTGTTTGGTTTCTTTCTAACGGAGAGACTTGTCTGTGGAAATTAGCTCCAGAGCTGTTCCTGCATTGATGACCAAACCTTCCATGGCTCTCCATCCTATAGGGCAAAGACCTAAATCCTTACCTTGACATTGAGAAGCATCAAACAACTGTTCCCAATTCATCTTCCCTTCCTTGTCAGTAAGATGCAGCATAATCCCTGAAGCCAAGTTAAAATATTTCAACAATAACCTGACCGCATAGCTAATTCCCACTTCTGTGATTTACAGTGAATTTCTGCACTGGTGAACCTCTGAGTTTCTCACAATAGATATTTGATTAAATAATCCTATGCTGGAAGAGTAAAGTGCATCACCTGTACCGGTCACTTCTCCCAAGCCTTTATTTTGTAGATTTGGAAAGGAAAACACAGATGCATCAAATATTGTGGTCTAGGTCACTTAGAGAACTAATCACACAATGATAACAGATTAAAATGACCATCTCTAGATATGGGCTGAGTTCCAATCCTTCCTTTGTTTCATATAATTATGTTGAACAGCCATTTTCAAATGATATTGGTCTTAAACATTCTAATTGAAAAGTTTAAAATATTTATATAGCAACTTTTTTCTCCTTCCCTAAACCCTGTTTCTATTGGGAAAAATGTGCTTTTTC